CTTTTTGCGCACGACGTCGAATGCTGGATTCGAAAAATGCGCTCTGGCTCTTATCGGCGGCTCTACTCCCCTTTTGGGAGGAACCTGGACGCTTTGGATATCATGTCTTCCTTCGCGTCCGACGCTTCGGACATCGCGTCCTACTTCGCGTCTTCCCTCTTGTCCGAAAACTTGGACAGATGCTCCTGCAGTTGCTTGCGGTACGCAATCTCTTCCTCGGACAATGGCGCTTGAAGCGCTTCTGGCGGCGTAGCGGGACTCTCCCCCACCATCACCGTCGATTCCGACATTGCCTTTGGCGCTGGTGTCAGAACTACTCCTCCCGCTGTCGGTGGCACTGCGGGTTGCTCGAAAGAAATTCGTCTTGCCTTTCTCAAATTCTCTCGATCTTCTTCTTCTGCCTTCCATTGCAGGAGATCTTGTTTTCCTTTCTCGAACTCTTCCTGCCGGCGACGCTGGACCTCCTTTCCATGCTCCAAGGCTTGTGCCATCCTCTCTGAACGGTACAGCGCCTTCGCCTTTCGGCGTTCTTCCTCTTCTTTCTCTTGGCGGGTGAGTTCCTTCTCCCATTCGATCGCTCCTGCCTGTCTCTCGGAGGCCAGCTCTGATCGAAAAAGCTTCTCGCGCTCCTCGTCGGTCAGATGTGCCAAGTACTTCGGTATACTCTCTTGGCACCTGATCCTGATGCCGTGGACGGCTTCTCCTCTTCGAGGGTCCCGGTACCCCTCTTGAGGTCTGCTGCCTTGAGGAGGTCTCTGGCTTTTTGAGCTAACAGTTACAGTTACACCTCGTCTGCCACCGCTTTTTGCTCTTCAGTGAGCGGTCGCGATTTCGCTTTGGGTCTCGTCGGTGGTGTCGGTGGCGTTTTTGGTCCCGGAACCGATGGAGTTTTCGGCTCCGGAATTCCCGTCTGGGCAATCACTGCCAACATTTTCTCCGGATCGACGCTTACCGGACTCGCTGGCTCCTTCGGCTTGGCAACTGCCAGACCTGCCGTCTCCTCCGGTCTGTCGCCCACTGGATCCTGCCACCCCGGGGGTGGACCCGGTGGGGGTTGGGGTCCCACCGGTCTGGCCTTCGCCTTCATTGGCAGCAAGGATGGGGTTTGCCTCGCGGTCCTTCTGGCTGTTTCGTGAAGCCGTAAATTCTCTTCGGTCAAGGTCAGGACTGGAGGATCGGCTGCTTCCGATCCAGAAATGGAGGCATCCGTGACCGACAACGCGGCGTTGCTCGAAGGTCGCCACAACGCTCGGACCTGGGACGTGTACTTCACGTTCCCCGGCTCCTCGGGCTTTCTCTTCATGTAATAAGCGGTTCCAGGCTTTATGTCCTGTCGTCGCGCCGATACTTGTCCCTGTGCATCCGCGCTTATACGCATCACTGTTTCGGATGTTATCCGCTCGTGGCCGGTTAAGCCGGACGAAATGCTCTTTGGACCTTTGGTCGGAGTCGGAGCACTCTCTGGAAGAGCTCCGTGAATCTCTTCCAGGTCTCCAACATCTGAGGCTTCCGAACCGGTCAGACTCACCATCGTGACTCCCCTCTTTGGGGCTGGATCTCGATAAACTCCTTTTTCACACGAGATCCCGATGACTTCGGCTGCGGACGCGCTTTGGCGATGCTTGTTTTGGATCATGTACTCGCCCTTGGCTGTGACTCTGGAGGCCTGAACCTCTCTCTCGATCAATCGCAGCTTTACAATCCGCTCTCGTCGCGGTGCTTTGGTGTGTTGTTTCAACACCTTCTGGACTGACCCCTTCGGTAGTGGGTCGTCCACCGTCACGGTCCAAGACCGTCGCAGTGATGGTCCCTTTCGAACTGCTTGCTGAAGGCCTGCAGCCCGATCCGACCGGCGCTGCTGTCTCAGCGCTCGCTGCCTGGCGCGATTTCTGATCCGCTTCTCCTCGTCTTTCTGATCTTGTCGATGAAGCCAATTTGACCAGGCTTTCATTCGAAACGTCACTTCCTGCTCGGACGTTGCCTCCTGAGCTTTCTCCGTCTCGACAAAAGGCTTCTCTGGGATCTCGGGCTCTGGAAGGTCCTTCGGAACTTCGCGCTTCTCCATCTCCAATCCCTTTTCCTTTTCTACTGGCTCTGAAGGCTTCTCGGTAGCTTCTGTGCTCCCCTCGGGTTCCTGTTCTGGAGGTTTCACGATCACTTCGGTACTCTCCTCTGGTTCCATCGTGACAAGGACAACTCTCCGCGTCTCTTCTCTCGGTTCCGATGGATCCTTTTCCACATCCTGTTGCTCGACTTGAGCGATCACAGTGCCTGGCGCTGGTTCGGTCGGTTCTTCCATGACCGTGTCCGGACTCTGTTCTTTCTTCTTCTCTCCGCTCAACTCCGTGGTATCGACCCAAGCATCCGAAGGCGTGCTCCACTCGACGAAACCTGGGCTGGACGGGGTCCGCACAGTCAATGCGCTCGTGCACCGAACTTGAACCTTCACGCTCTGCAACATGCAAGACCGAATCTTGAACTGCTTCATGCATGGTCGAATAACGAACAACACGGTGCGAACTGGGCTCAACATCGGACGTGTACTGCAACGAACGGAGTGACGATGACATGTCAATGTCGATGACTCCTGGGTGGACAATTGAAATCCAAGGCACGTTACACCAGAGAAAAATGTCAAGATGAGTTCTACTACTCCCAGTTCTGTTTGGAACCTGGTCGTGACCTCCAAAATGTGAGAGGGACAAACATGGTGGCTTCGCCGGTTTATCTACCTCTCTGGAGGTTCGGGAACAGCTCTTGCCAGGTGAACATGAAAACGTCCAACCTTTACTGGCAAGAAGTGCAACACTCAGCAAACTAACCTGTCCATATCCGATCAGACCTGTGACTCTGAGCTTCTGCGGCCTCTGCAGTTGGCTGCCAGCGCAAATGCTGCGCGACACTGGTGACAGGCTTGAGCTAGCAGGTGCTGCGGGCGACGGCGCGGCGGCTCTCGACGAAGCAGCAACAGGCGAAGCAGCACAAGGCGACGACGCGGCGGCTCCATCGCAATCTAAAAAGCTAACATGCCTACTTTTGAGAGCATGCGTGCTGAACTCTGCTTCGACACACCGATTTAAGATCATTTCCTGTCCATTGGCTGTGGTGCATCGTTCGTTGACGGCCCACTCCCTGCAAATCTGCAGGTATCCCTCATCCACTAGACTTTGACTGATCAAGTGGATGCTTGCCCCACTGTCCACCAAAAAGTGTGGATCAGTGTGCCAAATTGCGTGGGTCAGGGGGTTTTGGGCTGAGAAAGAAAAAAAAGCAAATAGACACTTTAAAAAAGGAAATAGAGGTTTTCAGAAACTGAAACGAAGGGTGGGTCAGAACAGGGTTTGTGGAAGGATGTTTGCACTAGTCCCCACTCAGATGATCCACGCAAAAAAACATCATATAGGCGGCTAACTGCTACCTGGTAAACTGAATGAAACCTGGCTGCTGGCAACTCTTTTTTTCACTCCGGGAACATGTGGCCACCCCTGCTTTAGTCAGAGGTTTACCCTGCTGCTGAAAATCTCAATTTGCCAACTCAATGGCAAGGACCCAAGCTGAAACTCAAGCCTTACCCTCAATCCTCCTTGGACTGGTGGAAAGCTTTTGCACCCACTTCATTCTTGGTCAGTTTCCTTGACCGGTCTTCAAAGCATAGTTCTGGGAAGCACTCTGAGGGAATTCTAAGGCTTTGAGGCTTTGAGACATCGGAAGAGTGGGACAAAAATGGGCCTGTGGGTGTTTGCACTACTCAGCACTCTGAAGATCCGTGTAAAATATCATTCAAAATTCATACTCATTCATATTATCATGTTTGTAAGCTGCTAAATTAAGTTATTATGAATGAATCATATGTATGAAATTGAACTGTTTTCCATCCCGGCCCATCCCACATCGTAGAAAATCTGGCAACTCTGTTTTCACTCATGGCCCATGTGGCCAAAGTTCCTCAGCCATAAAGGTTTCCCCCACAGCTGAAGAAGATCCCCATTTGCCAACTGTATGGCAAGCACCCCGAGCTGACACTCAAAAACAAATCCCTCAAGCCACAAGCCTCTATCCTCCTTGGACTGGTTTGAATGTAAATAGATTCCTTTTGACACTGACAGTGAAGGTTTATATAGTAACAGTTACTGTATAAAGTTTTATATATTTATATAGTGCAGTGCAGCGCACTATGGATTCTAGCTCTGTGAGGCACCCTGCACCCTGAGGGAATTCTAGCGGCTGCGAGTTGTGAGACATCACGCCAGCTTTTCACTCAGCAGCAGCAGCGGCCTGCATTCCTGCTGCCAGCTGCGGCTTGCGCTGCCTTGCTGCCTGCTGCCTTGCTGCCAGCTGCCCTTCTTGCTGCCAGCTACCCTTCCCCCTGCAAATCAATCAGATTTCACTTCACTGCACTGCACACTACACATTACTCACAGTGTCTCACAGACATGATTACTTTATACTGTATTAAGAATTAAGTTGAGTTACATAAGTTATATAAGTTATATATCTTATTTATATATATTTATATATATATATATTGTGTTTCTCGCAGTTTGTCACTCAAATCTTTACTGACTGTACTAATACTGACCTTACTAGTATAGTACTGACCTGCATAATTCCTGATGCAATGACTGCAATGACAATCCCCAACCTGCATCATCTCGAGGCTATTTCTTAGGCGGTCTTCCCTTTCTCTTGGGTTCTGAACCTGAAAGGCATCCAACCATTGTCCAAGTCTCAACTTGATGTCAAAGCTCACGAGGTCTCCGACGAGTATCAAAAAGATCGAACGGCACGGTCGAATGCGCGCCCAAGCTGCCTTTTTAGGCTGATGTCGTGTCCTATGTGCTCAAGGGCCCTCAACGAAGGAGAGACTGCACTATTCGCAAACTGACTTCTCCGATTGACGTCCGGCCAAGAAAAACTCATACGCATTCGCAAATCAACACGGGCAATCTTTTCTTTGCCCTTGAGTCATTGAGGGAAAACATTCAAAAAGTTGCCCTTCTTCATGATCGCAAGCCAAGTTCATTGGCCTGCAACCACGCGCCATGCTGAGTGGCCGGCAGCTGTCTTGCTCTCAAATTGGGAGCATGGTAGTCATACGAGATTGGAGTCTGGGACGAACGATCAGTCAGCAAGCCACTCAGGTATTTCTCGCGGATCTTCTCGAAGTCTTCATGATCCAGCAGCTTTGCTCTTTCTTGTTGGAGTCTTTTGTTGACACTGCCAAGGAACATCAAATTGTCATTCCACATTCGGTGCCATTGGCGGATTTGCTCATCTTCGAAACCAGTTGTGGAGGTCACCAGGAACATGGACGTGAACTTTTTCCACCTGGTACTGGTCACACTTTCTTCACTCAGGATAGTTCGGGCGCTTCTATCCATGCCACTTGAGCTCAATTCCAGTTCTTGGCAAAACTGGCGCCACCTTCTCTGCGAGTTCTCGTTCTGCACTTCCATTTTCAATCTACTCCAGCGAGACCACTCTTCAGGAGGAATCTCATCATCTTCGGACTGCTCGCTTTCATTCTCGAAGCGCTCGTCCGAAGGCAGCTGCAAGACATACCTTACGACCTGCTCATTCTGGAGGGTCTGGACATTCTCAACGGCGACATGGCTAGGACCTACCGGCTGGTCTTGCAGCAGTTTTTCTTCCAGCTGGGCTTCTTCTTCTTCTTTCCAACGGTTCGCCACCATCGAAAACAATTTCCGAAGCAGCTCTTCGAATCCAAAAAGTGCAAACAGAAAAATCACCAGCATTGAAAGGATCATGCTCCAGCTGTTGCTTGAATCACTTTTCACAAGCTCCTCGGCGCTGGCCTTGGGAAGGTCCTCAACCATCAACTTGCTCACAGCAGCGATTGCGGCCGTGCGCCATGGATCATGAGCTTTCTTCATAGATGCATGACGCATGCTTGTAAAAATGACGTCTACAGCAAAACTTGTTTTTGGAGTCTTCACATCCAGGTAGGAGACACACTTTGTCAGGTCCATCGGCGAAGTAGCTCTGTTCTTCCTGTAGCAAGCGGTTGTTCTTTTTCTCGTTCTTGTTGCGTCACCTTCTTTGCTGCTATGAAGTTGGGGTCATATGACAGCTTGTGGGATCCTCGAGCCAAAGTCACTGCCATTGCATCACGAGCTGCACTCTTCCCAAAACAGTTCTCCAAGGACCGCCTGAAGCACACTAGAGCTCGTATCACTGCCCAAGCCGCAATGTGAAATTCGGTCATATCAGAGAATGCCTCATGCCACCCAGGCTTCACAGAAGTCCTAGGCAAGCAGCAAGCAGGAGCTGCAAAGTGATAAGAAGTGTATCCCCAGTCCCGAGTCCCCGGTCACCAGTCCAAGAAAAAATGTTTTGCAGCAGGAGCTACTGGAAAAATACTGACAATTGGATCATCTGTTCTTTGCTGTTCCCTTATTCAATATTATATACAAATAGTACAGTACAGTACAGTACAGTCTAAAAAAATATAGGTCGGTCAGTCAGACAGTCAATATAAAAGTATAAATGAGACCACCGCCGGCCACCGAAACCACTATATGATACAATATGGTTAAATGATCATCTACAATTGTCTACAATACAATTTATATCTCTTATATATATAGTACTGTAAAGTAAAGAGAGGTCCTGTCTTGCCAAGCTTCATTGGAAACATCTGGTCGCAGTCGAAGCCATGAAGATTGCTGCCAATGCCCTCAAAGAACAGCATTGATGGAACTCTGAATCCTGTAGCGTCCGCGTTCATGCACTTCTCAACCAGGAAGGCGCAAGCTGCAAGCAGGTATATACCTCCGGAAGGTTGACAAGGCAACTGAAATGCCATTCTCTCTGTGACTCAGTTTGCAAACTGCACTGACCTGCTTCCCCCATGATCTGAATCCAGTCCATACTTGTCAACAAAATCAGGTCGTGGTCAGGAAATTATCCAGCTCAGGAAACTGAACTCTGAAACAGACACACAACTACAAATAGAGGCTTGTTTGAAGAGGCAGCGACTAGAAGCAATGCTTCCCAACAAACTATGACTGTTCTCAAAGCGACCAAGGCAGGGACAGGAAGATCTCAGTAGCTCAGTTTGATCTGGAATGCTGACATAGAAGAAGTAAGAGAAATAGAAGAAATACAGAAAAACCATCACAGCACCAGTAGTCTACTATTGAGTTTAGTTTTGTTTCTGGGCCAGTACTATATTGGTCTTTTTAGCGTGTCGGCGGATTCGAGCTACAGTGACATCTCCAGGCCGTGCTGAAGATCAAGTTTCAAAGTGAAAACAGGTATGTCTCATGACACCTGCAATTCCATAAGTGAAAAGCAGAAAAGCAGGCATGACACCTGCTGCATTCCGTGACCATCCGGTGAATTTCTGCCAGTTGACAACAATTGACAAGAGCTGTGACATTCAGTCTAGTCGGCAACCTACTTGAAGTCTCAACCTATGACAAACTCATCTAACCTAGTTTCACCGGCTGAAGTTGCACCGGTTGAAGGCACGGCGGCGGTTGCTGAGTATCTGCTGCCCACTCCGAAGATTCTGCGTTCCTCTTCAAATTGCTTGTACTCGTCGCTGAGCTGCACCAAAACATCGTGGTCAGTCCTGAGCATGAGTGACAAACCAAGAGAACAAACCACTTCCAAAACACAACAAAACAAAACAATGCCAAAACACTCAGAACAGGACCTAGTACTGGGACAGCAAAACCGCTCAATGACATCGAGAAACACTTGGTCGCAAAGCACTGCGACTGGCCTGCCCCAAGCCTTGTAGGAATCAAACATCAGCTGCTTGAATCCCTGCAGATACTCCAGCAGGTCTTCGCCAAGGTCTTGGTCATGCAAATGGTGTCAAACAACAACTACACATAACTAAAACAACACAAACCAAGCAAAACGCATAAGACAGACAAACATATGAAAGCACGGATCACTTCACATCACTGTCTGGTGAGAGATGGCAGTACCAAAGCATAGCCTCCACCCTTCGGCCAATGCTGGCATCGCAGCTCATGCGCTCCTCCTCCAAGAAGTATGCCTTGACTTCAGGCATGATGAACATGGCCGCTCGCAAGACCTGGTTCCCCCCGAGTTGCAGGGTCTCATCCTGGAGCTGTTCATGGTGGAAAGCATCATGAAGCAATCCGATGTCCATGAGCTTTGTGCCCCGCAGCGCCTCCACAACAAATTTTTCGCCCTCCAGCAATCGATCCAGCATAAGGAACATACGTGGTTGCTCGTCCATTGGCCTCAAAGCCGCTGCCATCTCATTGAGACTGGGCATCGCGGAAGTGTCCATCTCAGAGACAGCTGCTGGACTTGCAGCGGAAGTCAGCGGAGGTGGAGGAAAAAGTTGCTTGTCGTAAGTCACACCTGCCATAAATATAAGATGTAGATATATATATATATACTGTAACATTGTATAGTAGATCTATACTATGTTTTACAATATAATCATATCAGCTGACTTGAACAGCTGAGCGGGGAGGCTTGAACCAAAATCTTCAGGGGTTCAAACTGGGGTTCAAACATACCAGTCATACATCTTACATGGGCCTGGACCTGGAACTGGAACTCATGAATTTATGACAATGCAGCTGCATACTCATCAATCAGCCAGAGGGTCCATTGGAGTCTAACAACATGGCAACTTCAGGGATCATCATGTCCAACAACACGCCTGTGTAGTCAACCATGGTGCTTCTTCAAGCACTCAGCAACAAAGAACCTCTTCGCGTGAAGTGACTCTATTACAGCCAGAAACAGCTGACTGACAGACACAAACATCCACAGACTTATACAGTGAAACAGCTGACTGACAGACTCAAAGAAATACAGAAACAGCGGACCAACACTCTCCAAAGTAAAGCAAAGTCTGCAAAAGCTCACAAGCAACTGTAGTACGGGTTGAGAACATGTTCTAAACTTGCAAATGCCTCATCACCCTCCAGAACTAAACGTGCGCGATGCAGCGGAGATGGTCACTGGGATCACCTCAGTTGAGTTGAGGCAAATCATTCACTAACATGGCCTTTGCATATGCAGCTCGATTTAACACACTCAAACTGTAGTGAAGGAAAGCCTGTCAAGACTCTTGAAACATAAACCTGTGACTTATATAGTTCTCGCACATCACACAACAAACACACAGAAACTCACACAACAAACAGCAGTTCTAAGCATCCTGCCTATTGCCATTTTTTCCTGCAATAATAAGGAAGAACCAATTGGATATTGTGCATTGGAACCTACTGACAACAACTGACAGCAACAACAGTGAGATCACCTGCACTATAAATGAAAGCAATCAGCTTCTGGCTTCTTCAATGGAAAAACTGACAGCCCTCAAAGCGACCAAGGCAGCGACAGGAAGATCACAGTAGCTCAGTTTGACCTGGGATGTAATTGATTGGAAGTGAATGAAACATTCATAAAACAACTCACCACCACAGTTTCTGCTACTTCTGGCAAACTTGTAGCTTCATTCAAAGATTGAACTGTTCAACAGTCAACATGAACTCATCGCTGAGAGCCACGCCTTGAACCACACAGCACACCATCAAACAAGCAAGCAGCACATTAAAGCGGTGGCTGGCCATTAAAGCGGTGGCTGAATTCTAGAGACAACAGCTGACACCAGTGACATGCTTGCCTCTCCTACAATTACAATGTAAGTGTAGCACCACTGACAGGCTGACAAATTAAAGGAAGGTGTCAAAACAACTGACTGGGCCATCCTGACTGAAGGGCCATTTGAAGCTCAGTTCCACCTGCCACGCCAACAGCTCAGATGAGTCCATGTTTGACTCAATAGATTTAAACCTCTTGTTGAACAACAGTGCTGAATGACTGCTTCTTGCACTGATTGCCCAGCAACTGCGCAAGCAGCAAGCACTTTTTTCATTCATGGTGCTGGTCTGGCCACTGCTTTTGCAGTAGCCAGAGCATGCCGTGCCAATTGCTCGATGTCTTCTCCTGAGTTCAGTCACTCACAAAACTTGTGCAACTGGCATGGCAAACTGTAAGCTTTGTCCACACATGGTCCACAACTTGCCACCCAAGGTTTGGAATGGTCCAATCAGTGAACAAACCTCCAAGAGATAGACTTGCTGCCCAGTCTCTCACACTGTCCTGCAGCCACAGCGCATGGTTTTTGGAATAGTCCTTGAACAGCAGCTTGTTCCTCGGGTTCAGATGCTATGGACCGGCTGTGGGCCAAGCCATTAATGAACCATTGATCTTCAATTGTTTGATTGGATTTCCACTTGTAGCTTTAGAAGACGATCACAATCATTTAATTTAATGTCCTTCTTTTCATTTCATGATTCATGAAATGAACTAGCAGTTGACCTACTCGGTTCAGTTGATATTTCATTGAGTCATGCATCATGTTCAAGCCAAGTCTCAGTAATCTTGTTTGTCTGCACCTGCCCAAGCTTCCATACCTCTCGCTAAGGGAGAAAAACAACAGCTGAGTAACACGGTCCATGCCATAGTCGTTCAGAATTTCTGACCTCATCCGACAAGCGCAAAAGCAGACTTAAAAAGATACCCAACCACACATGTCACATGAACTTCATTGGCAAGACATTTATCCACTCCAATATCCACAGTCACTGCCTGCCTATGATTCTTCTAACCACTGTGCAATCAAGACACATCACTTCATCTCTGTTCTGCAAGTCAGCAGCGCTCCTTTGGAGAATCTCCATCTCATTTTCCTCCGCGGCTGCTGCTCCTCCAGAAGAAGCTGCTGCTGTGGCTGAAGGCTCTGGTGCTGTGTCCACCCATATAGTAGATGCAGACGGAGCCGAATGAGCAGTTGGATTCTGCT